CGCACTTTTGCGTCTCAGAGGAAGTTGACTGCCAGACCACCCTAATCGACTGTCTGTGGCACGAGGCGACTTTCAACGTCTACCCATACATTCCGAGCTCCATTGCGTCTACGGAGCTTGCCTGATCTACCATCGGCTCTCCGTGCCCATTACAAGACACCAAGCACCACCGCCACTCCTCAGAACTTCAGCTATAGGAACACGAGAACACGAGGAGCGACCTCGAAGAAGGCTCGATATTTGGATCAACCGATCAACAGCAACAATATACCCGCGTCATCCAGCAGTCACTCCCTCTTGGGGCGGACTCTTCCAACCCTTGGTAGAGGCATGTGAGCATGCATCACCCCCGCCCGGCCTTTCTCCCGATCACCGGTACCAGCAACCTGGATACCCAAGAGCAGAGTCACCCCGACGAAGCCGCATCGTAAACTTATAGCGTCTAAACGAAAGACGAACCCGACAGAGCAGCATCGCAGGCCGACGCAGTCTGTTCCCGACCCCAAACAATTCAGTCCGTCCGAGCCCTGGCCCTTCGCCCTACTAAGGGTGAGGACCAATCCGACGGCATATCACATCCTTGAATCTGGCATCGCCACGGCCGCGACCGCGAAATCCCCTCCGCAACATGAGGAGACATCGTTCGGGGTCTTCTCCTTCGCCGTACCGGGCGCTTGCAAACCAGAATGGCGGCGGTCACGGCGCAGGGGGGATTCCTGACTCCATGTCATTAATCAGATCTTTCAACGTTGAAGCCACACCGACGAGACCGGTGCGCCCCTCGCCATTGACGGCTTCAACCATTCGCGACATGCCGCTTGACCTGGTCGACCGGATCAGATCTTTCCCCTTGTTCCAGTCTGCCTCAGAAGACTTTCTCGCCGCCATTGGCAACCATCTGAGGCCGCAGGTCCATGCAGCCCAAGACACCATCCTTCACGAAGGTGAAGATGCCAGAGCCATGTACTGGATCGTGCGTGGCGTCGTTGCCGTTACCTCGCGTGATGGTGAAGCTGTCTTTGCCGAACTCAAGGCAGGTTCCTTCTTTGGCGAGATTGGCGTGCTCATGGACGTCCCGCGTACTGCGTCAATAGTCGCGCGGACCAAGTGTCTTCTCGTCGTTCTCAAGAAGGAGAACCTACAGACTGAGCTGCCACGTTTCCCTGAAATGGAGCAGGCTATTCGCCAGGAGGCTCTA